TATTGAAACTAATCATTTAAAAATATATGTGACCAGAGCCTTAAGCTAGGTATTTCATTCTTTAGCTATATTTAAATTTTGTTTTGTGATTACTAATACATACTGAAACATTATTCTATCATAGTTATGATTTTTTCCCCCTCTACACACAGAACTCACCATGATTCCATTTGCTACCTTACTGTGGGCTTAATTTACGCAGGTCAGATAGTGAAAGACTAAAATGTTAAACAACTCAGCAAAACTTTAATTGAATTAGATATTTCTACTAGAAGCCAAAATAAAATTTATACTGGGTAAAGCTGAGTCAATATTGAAATAACTCAGACATAACAAAAAAATGTCTACGATTCTTAAAGAACTTAATAATACTCCATCAACTTTTAAAATCAATGCAAAACCAGTTCTAGAAATACTGTTTTAATAGAAGTTACAAAATTTAAAAATATCTTTGCCTCAACATGGAAACACCAAGTTGGCAAAGGAAGAGAAAAATAATAACAGCCATGCATTGAGCACATGTAGCAATTACACTTTTATCCACATTGCTTTATTTTCCCTTTCCAGTGACTCTCCATAGCTAATAAGAACCAGAGCCAATATTCAATCCTAGGTCTCCTTCAGAATGCATGCACTTTTCACAATTCTACACTCCCCCATAATACTTTGGTCTCATTCTGTAACTGATCTCCCCACTTACCACTCTCACCGAAATAAAACATGGTTCTTTATATTTATTTAGATAAAGTTCAAGCATTAAGATTAGAGAAACATTATGAAATAACATGAGCTTGAAGTGGCTTCTATATCACAAAATATAGCAAAATAAAGGATAATTGATTGTTTATTCATTAGAGCAAAATAGCTGATTTGGCCAAAAGTTTTCTTGCTTTCTACTGATGAATTTTCTGTGTGTCCTTGTTTAATCTGATCTTTCTTCTTCAATGAGAAAAATAAAAACATACACTTGATTTGGAAAAAAATCTTACTATTGTAAGTCTACAAACCTAAAATCAATAGTTTATATATTTTTTGTTACATTTATTTACCTATCTGATAGACAGCAACTAAAGGGTTTAATACTGGGGACTTTGTAATATTTGATCTTACCATTTTAGGTCCCACATCATAAAATATTTTGTAAATACTGGCATTTTCTCTTCTTACCTGTGTAATAAGAAAAGCAGGTTTGAGGACACTGTAAGTATGATTCATTTAGATTATTTATATCTGCTTTCTCAACTGTTGAAAAATATAAGAGCTGCCCCAAGGGGAACATGTCCCAATTATCTTCTGGTTTAAAATAGCAACATGATGATTTACTCAATAACAAAAAGTACATGGTTGTGGAATAATTTACTACATGTTGATATTTCTTAAATAATTAGTCCTCAGTCCTCTGATTATACTGATATAATTTACAAATGATTATTTGTATTTTCCTGATAATAGCGATGTTAGGTGTTTTTGGCATCTATACTTATTGTACTTGTTTTTTATGCTTTAATTAAATTTATTGGGGTGACATTGGCTAACAAGATTATATAGGCTTCAAGTGTACAATTCTATGATACATGATACATTGTGTGCTTACCACCCAAAGTCAAAGCATCTTCTGTCACCATATATTTGGCCCACTTTACCATTTACTACGTACCCCCTTTCCTCTGGTAACCATAATATTATTGTCTCTGTCTATGAGTTTTAGCTTTGTATTCCACATATGAGTGAAACCATAGGTTCTTAGATTTTTCTGGCTACCTATTTTGCTTAACATGATATTCTGAAGTTCCATGCACGATGTCACAAAGAGAAATATATCATTTTTTATGGCTAAGAAGTATTCCATTGTATATATGTAGCACTTATTCTGTTTTACCTTTACCTGAGGATATGTTCGCTGGTTTTAGAGAGAGATGGAGAGAAGAAGGGGGAAAGTGATTTGAGAGAGAAACATCTATAGGGTGCCTTCTATACAAGACCCAACCTAGGATGAAACCTGCAGTGCAGATATGTGCCCTGTCTGGTAATCAATCCCCCAATCTTTTGGTATATGAGATGATGCTCCAACCAACAGAGCCACCTGGCCATGGCTATATCACATCTTCTTTAGCCGAGCATCTACTAAAGGACACTTTGGTTGTTTTCAAGTCTTGGCCACAGTGAACAGTACTAGTACATTGAAAACAGAGGTCCATATGGCTTTGCAAATAAATGTTTTCAAATGTTTTTGGTAGATACCCAGAAGATGGGTTACTGGGTCATAGAGTAACTCAATTCTTAATTTTTTGAGGAACCTCTATCCTGTTGTCCATATCAGTTTACATTCCCACTGGCAGTGAATTAGGATGTATGGCAACTTGAAAGCACAGTTAAGGAAAGAGAAAGAAAAGAGAGATAAGGAGAAAAAAAATTGAAATGAAGAAAGTTAACAGTTTGAGAGAAACTGAGAAAAATCCTAAACTATAATATTCAAAATGCCCAAAACATTCATACCAATATAAAATGATATGTATCAAAAATTTTAAACATTCCTAATAATAGGATAATCAATTAGAAGATAAGACATTTAAAGAACATTTCAATTATTGAGGGCTTATTAAGTTTATTAGAAAATTTGCAAGAAAATAAGGATTTGATTCATTCTTTAATTAAAAAAAATATATATATTTTATTGTTTTTTTTTACAGAGAGGAAGGGAGAAGATAGAGAGTTAGAAACATTGAAGAGAAAGAAACATCAATCAGCTGCCTCCTTCACACTCCCTACTGGGGATGTGCCTGCAACCAAGGTACATGCCCTTGACCGGAATCGGACCTGGGACCTTTCAGTCTGTAGGCTGACGCTCCTTCCACTGAACCAAATTGGTCAGGGTCATCCTATAATTTTTAATGAAGAAAAAATATATTCAGGAAAGTACTTGTATGAAGTATACACCTTGATAAATTTCCATAATCTGACCATAATCCTATAAATAAAACTAAAACTAACAAGTAAAATATTGACAGTATCCAGATGCCTCCCTTAAACTTTTTTTCTAGTCATATCTCCCCTACTAAGGAAATTTCTATTTTGAAGCAAAAATTAATTTATGTAATATCTAGGTTTTGAAGTTAGGGTTAAGTTTTTATATACATTAATAAGTTAATAAAACCCCACTACGTATAGCTGCCAGTTATATGAATGTTGTCAAACTCATAGAATTGTATAATTATTGTATAATCAAGTTATATAACATTTTCATCATTCTAAAAAGTTCAATTATACCACTATGTAGTCTATTTGGCAATCACAGATGTGTTCTCCATTTTTAGAATTTTGCATTTTTCAGAATGTGATATCAGTAGAATCACATTGTCTGTCACCTTTTGAATTTGCCTTCTTCCCATGGGCACAAGATATTTGAGATTCATCCATGTACTTGAATATATCAATGGCATTATTCTTATTAAATTGCTGAGCAGTATTTCATTTTATGGATGCAACACAGTTAATTATTTGTTCTATCTTTGATGGACATTTGGATTGCTTTCAGTTTGGAAATACGGTGAATATAGGCACTATAAAAATCAGAACCCAGATCTTTGCATTCATCTATATTTACATTTTTCTTGGGTAAATGGCAGAATCAGATCATGAAGTCATATGGTGTAGTAGTATGTTTCACTTCATAAGAAACTGTGAGATTGTTTGCTAAAGTGGCTGCACCATCTGCAATCCTACCTGGAAAGAATGGAAGTTCCAGTTGCTCTGTATCCTCAATAAATCACTTTATATTATCAGTTAACTATTATACTTTTAATTTCACTCATTCTAATAGGCATATAGGATCATGTTGTTTTTAAGTTGTATTTCTTTCCCTAACATAGGATAGTACTTAGCATTTTTTTTTCATGGACTTAGTAACAATCTGTGTATCTTCTATGGTGAAATATTTGTTCAAGTGTATGCCCATTTAGTATTGTTATATTTTGTTTTAGGTTCTTTATATAATCTAGAAACATGTTCTCTACTGGATAGCTCTTTAGCAAATATTTTGTACAAGTCTGTGTTATTGTTGTTTTTATTCATAAAGATGGGCTTGGGCTCAGGTGTGGCAAGAGTCAAACTCCCAGCCAAAGAACTGACTACCCTAATTATCCTGCTTTTGTCATTTTTGAGTTTAAGTATAAACTTCATAAAAGCTAATGTATAGTCTCTGTATTCTATGAGAAATTAAAGAATAGGTTTTGTATTCATGCTCTTGATAGAATGATAAAAAGGAGATAAATACATCCTCATTAATCAGCATAGAAATTAAACACATCTGTGGTCTTCAGGATGGAGAACATTGTTTTGGACTGGAGTGTAAATCAATGATTCCATGGAAAGTGATCTGGGAATATGTGAACTGTGATTTTGTGATTGATTGGGTAGTATATGCTTAAGGTAGTGAGGTGTAATTTATAAAGTTACTAATAATTTTGATCATTGGAACCCATCCAATTTGAGTAATATGAGATGGAAGTCGACATTATACATTTTAAAGCAAAGATTAAGTGCATCAGTGACTGTATGTGTATATATATATATATATATATATATATATATATATACACACTATATACCAATATTCATATGTCAATATTCTGATCTCAAAATGTGCCTGTATTTGGTGAGTCTTTGTATAAATAATTAAATTAAAATGATGTCTTTAGTTTGGCCTATAATCCAATGACTGGTGTCCTTATAAGAAGAGGTGCCAGGACATAGAAATACTCAGAGAAATGATGATGTGAAGACACACAGAGAAGATAACTATCAACAAATGAAGAGAAAAAGCCCCAGAAAAGATCAGTGCAGTCTTTAATTTGATCTAAGATTCCTAGGTTCTAGAATAGTGAAAAATAAATTTCTGATGTTTAAGTCACAAGTCTGTGGTGCTTAGCTATGGCAACCCTGACAACTAATACAATCACTGTCAGCATATATTTATAACTGTGTGTGTGTTTATCTGAGAATTAAGTAGGAAGCAAATGGATGACATTTTTCCTGCATGTGTGGAAACACTACAGGTGGAGGTGTGACTATGTTCTTTATATAAAAAGGTCTACACTAAAACAAAAATAAATTATTATTTTGATATTGAGACAATCAACATATCTTAATTTGTTTCCATTTAATGACTTGTGTCAACTCATACTGTATTCATACACCCATTTGTCCCAAACACTCTTTTCATTGCCTCTTTCACATCTCTGTTCCTCAAACTGTAGATGATGGGATTCAGCATGGGAATCACAATGGTGTAAAATGTTGACACTATCATGTCATGGTCCAAAGCATAGCTGGAACTCGGTCTCACATACATGAAGAGGATGGTTCCATGATAAATTGACACTCCAGTTAGGTGAGAGCCACATGTAGAGAAGACTTTTCTCCTCCCTTCAGCAGAATGCATCCTCAGAATGGCCAACAGGATAAAACCATAGGAGATCAGGACAATCAGGATGGTGACGATCTCAATAGAGCCCACAAAGTAAAAGAGTAGAAGCTGGTTTGTGTGTGTGTCAGAACAAGCAATGGCAAGGAGAGGAGGGATGTCACAAAAGACATGTCTAATTTTATTGGATGCACAGAAGGAAAGGCTAAAGGTGGCCGCTGTGTGTATGGAAGCATGCAGAATGCCACCAACATAGGAAGCAATGATGAGTGACACATAGACCCTGGGTGACATGCTGACAGAATACAGGAGAGGGTTATAAATTGCTACATAGCGGTCATATGCCATTGCAGCCAAGAGGAAGCATTCTGTGGTCCCAAAAGTAACAAAGAGAAACATTTGTGCTACACAGCCGAGATAGGAAATGGCTTTATTTTCTTTCAGGAAATTGACCAACATCTTTGGGGTGACAACTGAAGAATAACAAGCATCCAAGAAGGATAATACACTAATAAAATAGTACATGGGGTTGTGGAGCCGAGAATCCCTAGTAACCAAGAAAACCATTCCCAAATTTCCTATGAGAGTAAAAAGATAGATTTCTAGAAATAGTAAGAACAAAAAGACTTGTACCTCAAAATTATTTGTGAAGCCCATCAATATAAACATAGTGACTTCGGTCATATTTTTCATCTGAATGCTATATAAATTTAAGTCTGATGTCAAGTTTGCCATTTCTATTTTTATACATAGTTTTTAAAGCAACATTTTTTAAAAAAACAGAATCCACCCTATTATATTCTCTTACTTATTTTTTAGAAGGACATATTGAAATCCCTTGGAGGGACTAGGCAGTGATGAACAAGCTGGAGCCAATGGACATATTATCCTGTTAAATTAAAGAATTTTTATTAGATGGTTGGCTAAATGTGTCATGTTAGAAATTGCATCAATTTATGTGGTTTAATTTTCAATCTATTTTCTGTTCAATTTGCCATTTAGTTTTATATCTCATCATTTTAAATATACAAATAAGAATAAATATTGAAATTTTAGTACAAATTTATAATAGAAAGTATACATCTGAATACTAATTCTAGATTTTCTACAGTGTGTATGAAATGCCCTTCATTAATGTTTACAATTGTTAAAATGAAAGCAACCACACATATCACAGGATTGTATAAAAGTAAGAATTGTACTTAAATGAGAAAAACAATGTAAAAGATAATTGTGTTCAAATTGTTCCCAGATGACTAGAAAATGGGCTAAGTTAGACTTACCTTTCAGCTTGCTGTATGGTGTAACCCTTTCTAACCAAACCATGTGTATCCTCCTTTTGGCTAGTATCCCTTTCCATTAGCACATCTAGAACACTGGTGAACAGAAAACAGATATATTTCTGGAGGTGGACTCATAATAAAACAATCATAATAAATACTAATAAAATAAATAATTTATTTTATTATAAATCATAATAAAACACAAGCTTGTTTTTTTTTGTTTTGTTTTTAAGTTTTCTTTTTAGATATGTCTGTAACCAATCTGTACATTTAGGCCTACAGAATTTATCATACTGTTAATGATTTTCCAAATTAAATTAAATGCCAATGTAAGATTGTTTTTCTATTTATCCTTGCAAAATCCTTGGGCATATTTTTAAGACTCGTGTATGTCAAAAATAAATCATGGCCATTTCTTTAATATATTATAGTTTCTTAAGGAATCATTAAAGTTATTATAAAAAGTTACCCAATAATAGATTATATAATTTCTAGATGCTGTTGCTAAAAGAGTAAAATTACAATATAAGCCACCAAGTAGTGTTCATTTTTGGTATATTTCCCTGTGACTCAAGAATGGTTGAAGAGTCAGCTGTATCTACACTCAAAGTCTTCATGATTTAAACAAAATGAAAAATTGCATCCACCATATTTAGGAGCCAGATTTTAGGGCTGTAATTCTTTAAAAAAAAAAAAAATATATATATATATATATATATATATATATATATATATATATATATATGGATTTCAGAGAGGAAGGGAGAGGGAAAGAGAGATAGAAACATCAATAATAAGAGAGAATCATTGATTGGTTGCCTTCTAATTGAGCTTGTAACCTGAGCATGTGCCCCAAAACAGAACTGAACCCTGGCCAAGACTCTATCCAGTTGAGCCAAACTGGTTAGGGCCAGGACTGTAATACTTGTTTTTTCTTCAGTGTGTAACAGACTGAAGAATGAAAAATCTGCAGTGTACAGGGCCGGGGACATAACAAGGATTTATATTTGTGACATGAAACACACAACATATTTGTCATATTGAGATGTTCCTACATCAAGAAAAAATAGGGAAAAAATCTGCTAGAAATTATTTTTAGAAAAAGAAAACTCCATGTCTTTATTTTCCATATCTATGTGGAAGACTTTGTAAATACAGATAATAAATAGCTTTTCAAATGTGGGTATACCAACTCCCACAAACAAAATGCTCATTTAAATTCTTAGAGAATTCTAGAGTAAAAAAATACATAATTGCATTAAGTTTCAACTTGTCTTAAGTGTATATAACAAACACAGATAACTATATGACGAGTACTTAGCTTCTGGTTTGGTGCTCATTTATTACTCAATGCATTTAGTAATATTTACAGAGGTAAATACAGACAACTCAGAATAGCCTTGAGAACACACACAAATATCTTTTTTTTTTTTAAATACATTTCACTGACTTTGTACAGAGAGGAAGGGAAAGAGACAGAGAGTTAGAAACATCGATGAGAGAGTGTCATCGATCAGCTGCCTCCTGCACACCCCCTACTGGGGATATGCCCGCAACCAAGGTACATGCCCCTGACTGGAATCGAACCCGGGACCCTTCAGTCCCCAAGCCTACACTCAATCCATTGAGCCAAACAGGTTTCGGCCACACTCAAATATCTTATAATAATTCTCAGTTTAGTTTGAATAGTTAAATTAATAAAGTAACATAAAATAATCAATTCATACTATAAATATGTATTTTGGGGGCATCACAAGGTATTTATTTCTGTTTAAAATTTTCTCTCTGTCCCTTCTTTTCTCTCTCTCTCTCTCTCTCTCTCTCTCTCTCTCTCTCTCTCTCTCTCTCTCTCCCTCTCTCTCTCTCTCTTTCTCATCCATGGGTCATATATATTTTAAAAATACTTACCAAAGGGTTTCATGAACAAAAGAAGAATTAGGCAGATTAGGAGAAGCACATTGAAAAAATATGCAAGTAACTTTAGAAAAATATACCAATATGTAGTGTACTAAAGGTATCCATTACAAACACATTAAATGTTATATAGAGGAGAAATTTCAGCAACATTATAGTTCTAACTTTTACTCAATTGATGTGTCTGAGATAATATAATAGTGGAAAATTAAGAACATTATATTTGTTCTCTAAAACCCTGTATTAATATCTCAATTTAGCACCTATTACAGCGTAATCTTAAAAAAGTATCTTTCCAAACCAAAGAATAACTTAGATTAACCAAATTTTCAGGCCTATCTTATTGACAATATGAACATGGTGTGATTTCAGCTTATTTATGGGATGTATTAAAATGTTTATTAAAGTGTTTTAATTATATGTGAAGGATACATCTATATGATATATGACTTCTAAATTTTATATAACTACAAAATATTAATAGAGGGTTGTAAAATCAGATTTTCTCAATGCATTGAGTAATAAATGAGCACCAAACCAGAAGCTAAGTACTCTTCATATAGTTATCTGTGTTTGTTATATACACTTAAGACATATTTAAATACCTTTCCCGTGAGATTAAACCCAGGGAATCCTAATATTCTATGGCATCAAGAACCTTAAAAAAGTAACTTTAAGAATACATTTCTGTTATTGCATTTTGACTCTGGGCATAACAGTAAAATAAGAAAAGTTTGCTTAAATTCTTCTGATAATTTTGACCATAATAACCTTCTTATAGCTCTTGATTTCTCTGATTTTACCTGAAGTACACAAAGTGGTTTATAAATGATGGTATATTTTAATTCAAATTATGTCCCATTTGAGCAATTATCTACTTCACTGGAGGGAGCTGGAGGAATGATAGACGAAATATATGGGATTTATCTTCCTTATTGAAGATGCTTTTTAAACAGACATTTCCACTGGCTCACATTTAAGGACATTAGAACTGATTGTGTTACATCTAACGAATTTCAACTTGAGAAACAGATGTTAGAAAGCAAATATTAGATTTCAATATTTAGCAAAACATGATCATTCTGGGACTCTAAAGTCACATGAATCCCTAAACCTTCTCACAGTCAGAAAACAGAAAGCACTAGACATTCCTGAGAAAGGCAATGCAAACACTAAGCTTGAAAGGGAGGAAAGCCCTAAGGGCAGCTTGCCACAGATTGTTAAAGGGCTACTCAGTGTTGCAAACCTTGCTTAAATTATCTTATGTAACTTACATAGCAACCTGCAAAGTAACTCAGCACTCTTTGGTAGGTGAGGAAACTGAGAGCCACCCTGACCTGTAACTTGATCCCTGTCACTATCAGAGCAAGGATTAAAGTGCAGGGTGCTCTCTCTCCAAACCAAGCACTTTGCACTTGCCTATATCACACACTCATTGTGATATGCCATACATTTGGAAATGCTATCCACTAGAAGCAACACAAAATAAACATCTTCATGTAGCTGAATTCTTTTACAAAGCCACAAGTTTAAGCAGGCCATAATATAGTTGAAAAAAAACAAACAAACACAAATTGAAGTAGCTTTTAGATCAATTAGCTACCATGTAAAATAAACTTAAAATTTGTTTATATCCTTTTATGAGAAAAAATATGATTTTAGTATGACATATACTCAATGGATGAGTAGTAGGTAATTTTCTCTTCATTTAATAAGTTTCCTAAATTTGAAATATAGTGTCTTATTTCTACTCCTTTTATTCTGTTATCTTTCGTCAAAGGAATTAAGTCACATTTCTCATATGCTAATCTATCTAAATACTTAAATATTTTTTTTCTATTATCCCTGCTTTTTCCCTGGATTTCTCTCATTCAATTTTTAATTCAACTCTAAGTTAACTAGAAATTTCTATCTCAGGTTTAAATATTAAAGTACATAATCTAATTTGAGATTCAAGGTTATAATATCTGATATTTTTTAAGCGATGAAAAACCTTTCGTCTTACCGGTGGAAATGAACTGCTCACTCCGTTAAGGTATGCTATGAATGCTAAGTACTTGGATTCTTATACCAGGTTCCTAAGCTCTTCTGAAGTCCACAGGGATCCTGCAAGAAGAAAACACTAATTCTCTTCTGGGACAGTAAAAGTAGCAAGGTTATTATTATGTGTTGTTTTTTTCTTTTTTCATAATAAACAAGGGACTGATTCTGGAGCAATAAACAATATGATAAAAATTATTACATGAGTGCCCTTTTTCTCTGGTGTATAAAATGAGGAAAAAATTTGAGCAAGACTGAAAAATAAATTTAATGACACAGAACATAGACCTAGCTCTGACACTAAATAACTATGTGCAATGGTTGCTAATTTGGGTGAGAAATTCCCTAAAATCTAATTTCATCTTTTTGGGAGTTTAACTTGTTTATGTGTTTCAAAATCCTCTAACCATGTATGTAATGAAAGAATCTGAAAGCATAAGCTATGACAGAATTAATAATAATCCTATATAATAAAGAGGTAATATAGAAATTGATCCA